GTTTGGCGTTACACTAATTCCCTCCCTCTACTGGTAGTAATTGCTCTTCAAAAGTGGTTCCAGGGGGGCATTAAAAGAGACTTACCTGTCACATCATGATATTACTCTGTGTGTGTGTGTGTCTCCCAACCTATCTCCTGGTGTTATCACCCAGGCTCCAGGCTGTCTTTGAGGGGTGTTTGGTATTGTTTTCCCAAAACACTGATTTTACATTTGACAGCGTTTTCCGTTCCAACTGATGCTCAGTGACTCACCATTTGAACACTCATTCCTCCTCCCACCTCTCATACAGAAGCCATCCACACACAGCACTCGGTGTAGAAGTTGCCCATAGGATCCTACGTTAATCTACACCACAGTGATTCTGTACAAGCTTATGCTGCACTTCCACCTAAGACTTACCCCACACCTGTGTCGCCATTGTTTTTGTTAATTAGGCTTGGGCTGTATACCGGGGTATTTGGAAATAGCCATGGGATGGTTTTTCAATACCGTTGAAACTATTTATTTGAAGTTTTTTTAATAAATGTGAATCTTTTTTGCTACTTAAGTAAATACCTGCAGTCAACTTGTGCAATATGTTTAGGAGATAAAGGAGATCGCGTTCTTCATTTCAGCTGTCACAATATTTCATTATGAAGCTTACTGGTAGTCCCCAGTCATGTGGTATTTGTTTACAAGCACACAACAACAAGAGACCGGAGCCTTGTGAGTCACTCACTGTTGTGTAGCATGCACCAGGTGGTCTAGTTACAGTATGGAATTCACAACAAAGTGTTTTCCAGCTAGATATTTTTTATAACTATTAAGTTAACTGTCTAAAATGTGCTTAATACTCTGCAGTTGCACATTTGGTTTGCTAATTTTGTAGCTAGTTAGCTACCTAGCTAAGTGGTTACCTTCTTCCAAAGTCAAGCTTCGCTTTGTAACAGCAGAGAATCCCTTCCTGGATCAAGAGCCTTGCTGTCTAACATTTGTTTAGTGCGTGCAACAAACTGTGAGTAGCATTTTTGAGTTAATTGTATAACTTTATGAGTTGGGATGTCTGTCCTAAAAATGGTTTAAAAATGGTTTAAATGTTCGCAATGCGCTCGTTAGCATTTAGTTAGCATTCACTATGGGATTTTATATGTACCTGTTGGCATTGCTAACCTTTAGATTACAGAGGCGGTGGGGATAGAAATAGTGCCCCTTGTGTTCTGTGCCGGTATTACCGAATATCCCGATATGGCACGAGGTCTGTATGACAAAATGGATACCGCCCAAGCCTAGTGTTAATGTAAGCTCTAGTGTAATTGTTTCCATCAGGAGTGTGACACTAAAGACTTGGGGCGGGCAGAATCAACAACCTCTGCATCAAGTTGCTTTGTGAGAAGTTGTAAAGTTCACAGTTAGCCATTCTTATGTAAATGCCAGCTGAAAACTACCAGTGGCTTGGCCTTGGCCCCAAGTCAGAGCAGGTCCGCCGGAGCCATGGCCCAGTGAGACACGGGTGCCGGCCCACATACATTGCCTTCAGAAAGTGTTCCCACCCCTTGACTTTTTCCACATTTTGTTGTGTTACAGCCTGAATTTAAAATGCATTCAATTAAGAGTTTCTTTGTCACTGGCCTACACACAATACCCCATTAATGTCAAAGTGGATTCTACCACATAATCCGAGGTCGCACTTCCGCATCTGCAGTGAAAGGTGACAGAGCTAGAGCAGTGTTTGTCAGACCATGAGACATCCCGAAAATCGGTCTTCTCACAAAATCGTCTGTAGCATCCGAACGGATGGAAAGATGAGACTCACGAACATGATAGTGTTCTCCGTTTTCCTCTTCGACCACCACAAGCGTCTTGGGACTCGTCTGAAGTTGGTACAGCCGATCTACCAACTTCTGTCTGTAGCGTCCGAACAGTTTTGGCTACACACTAATATGAACCCTCTGTGGAAATGTGAGACACTCACAAACACGTCGGTTGTTTTGCTCTAGAATGCCCACAGACCTCACAAGACTCGTCTTAAGGTCCCCCGGTACCAGCTGAAAAAATTTATTGAAGTACCGTACTAGTGAAAAGTTTGGACACACCTACCCATTCAAGGGTTTGTCTGTATTTTTTTACTATTTTCTACATATTAGAATAATAGTGAAGACATCAAAACTATGAAATAACACATATGGAATCATGTAGTAACCAAAAAAGTGTTAAACAAATGTAAATATATTTTATGTTTAGATTCTTCAAAGTAGCCACCCTTTGCCTTGACAGCTTTGCACACTCTTGGCATTCTCTCAACCAGCTTCACCTGGAATGCTTTTCCAACAGTCTTGAAGGAGTTCCCTCATATGCTGAGCACTTGTTGGCTGCTTTTCCTTCACTCTGCAGTCCAAATCATCCCAAAACTTCTCAATTGGGTTGAGGTCGGGTGATTGTGGAGGCCAGGTCATCTGATGCAGCACTTCATCACTCTCCTTCTTCGTCAAATAGCCCTTACACAGCCTGGAGGTGTGTTGGGTCATTGTCCTGTTGAAAAACAAATTATAGTCCCACTAAGCGCAAACAAGATGGGATGGTGTATATCTGCAGAATGCTGTGGTAGCCATGCTGTTTAAGTGTGCCTTGAATTCTAAAAAAAATCACAGACAGTGTCACCAGCAATGCACCCCCACAACATCACACCTCCTCCTCCAAGCTTCACGGGGGGAACCACACTTGCAGAGATCATCCATTCACCTACTCTACGTCTCACAAAGACACGGCAATTGGAACCAAAAATCTCAAATTTGGACTCATCAGACCAAAGGACAGATTTCCACCATTCTAATCTCCATTGCTCATGTTTCTTGGCCCAAGCAAGTCTCTTCTTCTTATTGGTGTCCTTTAGTAGTGGTTTCTTTGCAGCAATTGGATCATGAAGGCATGATTCACGCAGTCTCCTCTGAACAGTTGATGTTGAGATGTGTCTGTTACTTGAACTCTGTGAAGCATTTATTTGGGCTGCAATTTCTGAGGTTGGTAACTCTAATAAACTTATCCTCTGCAGCAGAGGTGACTCTGGGCCTTCTTTTCCTGTGGCGGGCCTCATGAGAGCCAGTTTCATCATTGCACTCGATGGTTTTTGCGACTGTACTTGAAGAAACTTTCAGAGTTCTTGACATTTTCCGGATTTACTGACCTTCATGTCTTAAAGTAATGATGGACTGTTGTTTCTCTTTGCTTATTTGAGCTGTTCTTGCCATAATATGGACTTGGTCTTTGACCAAATAGGGCTATCTTCTGTATAGCAAATCTACCTTGTCACAACACAACTGATTGGCTCAAACGCATTAAGAAGCAAGGCACACCTGTTAATTAAAATGCATTCCTGGTGACTACCTCATGAAGCCGGTTGAGAGAATGCCAAGCGTGTGCAAAGCTGTCATCAAGGCAAAGGGTGGCTGCTTGAAGAATCTCAAGTATAACATGTATTTTGATTTGTTTAACACTTTTCTGGTGACTACATGATTCCATATGTGTTATTTCATAGTTTTTATGTTTTCACTATTATTCTACAATGTAGAAAATAGTAAAAAATAAAGAAAAACCATTATTAATTACACTTTGGATGGTGTATCAATAAAACCAGTCACTGAAAAGATACAGGTGTCCTTCCTAACTCTGTTGCCGGAGAGGAAGGAAACTGCTCAGGGATTTCACCATGAGGCCAATGGTGACTTTAAAAGAGTTACAGAGTTTAATGGCTGTGATAGGAGAAAACTGAGGATGGATCAACAACATTGTAGTTACTCCACAATACTACCCTAAATGATAGAGTGAAAAGAAGGAAGCCTGTACAGAATAAAAATATTCCAAAACATGCATCCTGTTTGTAACGAAGCAATAAAGTTAAACTGCAAAAAATGTGTCAAAGCAATTACCTCTTTGTCCTCAGTACTAAGTGTTATGTTTGGGGCAAATCCAATACAACACATTACTGAGTACAACTCTCCATATTTTCAAGCATAGCGGTGGCTGCATCATGTTATGGGTTGACTTAAATCTGCTTGAAAATATATGACAAGACTTGAAAATGGTTGTCTAGCAATGATCAACAACCAATTTGACAGAGCTTGAAGAATTTTGAAAAGAATAACGGGCAGATATTGTACAATCCAGGTGTGCAAAGCTCTTAGAGATTTACCCAGAATGACTCGCAGCAGTAAGCGCTGCCAAAGTTGATTCTAACATCTATTGACGCAGTGGTGTGAATACTTATGTAAATGAGATATTTATGTATTTCATGTTCAATACATTTGCTAAAATGTCTAAACTTGTTTTCAATTTGTCATTATGGGGTATTGAGTGCAGATAGGTGAGATGTTTCTTTCTCTCATTTTAGTCCATTTTGAATTCAGGCTGTAACAAGAAAATAAGTTAAGTGGTATGAATACTTTCTGAAGGCACTGTAGAGGGAAACAGAAAACACAGGTCAATCTGATGGAAACTCTCAACAGTGCTCTCTGCAGTGTAGTGCAATACCTGTTTCTGGCCAGGTGAGAGTCAAAGAGCTGACTGACTTCGCTAATGCTCTAATACAGTGTTTCCCATCTCCGGTCCTCGAGTACCCTCAACAGCATACATTTTCTTTGTAGCCCCGGACAAAAACACCTGATTCAACTTGTCAAGGGATTGATGATTAGTTGACAAGTAGAATCAGGTGAGCTTGTCCGGGGCCACAACAAAAATATGTACTGTTGGGGGTACTTGGGGGGGCTGGCGTTTGGAAACAACACACATCTTACACATGGTATAGTGCATAGCTTATCTTTCAGTAGTTATTAGTTGTAGGACGCAACGTTTTGGAACGTTCAGATAGAATATGCTTTGTAGAACAACATGCCCCTCTGACATGTAGATTAAGAAATGTTGGCTATATTCGTGGCATTTCTATCTGCAACGTTTGACAACATTTGGCTACTGAACATGGCCCTGGGTTACTGACTGGCTGGAGCTCCATGGATTCCCCCAGAACTTTTAGTTCTCAGCTGAACCTCAATGAAGAAGGTGTGGGTGTGTTGAACCTCAATAACCCAAAGACTGTGTGAGGTTTTCTGGGTTCCTTCCTTCCAGTCCACCTCTGCATGCTGTTTGCGCTAATAAGGTGTGTATGTGTTCGTGCGCGCTCTATAGGTATGCCAGTCTGTATTTCTGCTGTGCGGTGGAGGAGCAGGACAACGAACTCATCACTCTAGAGGTCATCCACCGCTTCGTAGAGCTACTGGATAAGTACTTCGGCAGTGTGAGTCTCTCGCTCTCTCTCTCATTTGACTTCTCTAGCCAACTCTTTCATTATCTCTTTAGCCAACTTCATTCTCTCGCTCCAACTGCTTATTTCTCACCTCCACTCTCATCTCATCAGATATTTTCCATTTCATCCTCCCTGCTTCTCTTCCATTTCATCCTCCCTGCTTCTCTTCCATTTCATCCTCCCTGCTTCTCTTCCATTTCAACCTCCCTGCTTCTCTTCCATTTCATCCTCCCTGCTTCTCTTCCATTTCATCCTCCCTGCTTCTCTTCCATTTCAACCTCCCTGCTTCTTCCATTTCATCCTCCCTGCTTCTCTTCCATTTCATCCTCCCTGCTTCTCTTCCATTTCATCCTCCCTGCTTCTCTTCCATTTCACCCTCCCTGCTTCTCTTCCATTTCATCCTCCCTGCTTCTCTTCCATTTCACCCTCCCTGCTTCTCTTCCATTTCATCCTCCCTGCCTCTCTTCTATATTACTACCGGACAATCTAAGGATTTTCATGTAAGTCGATGACTCGCACCATATGCTGTTTATTCCCGCTCACTGTCCCTCTGTTGATCTATTCAACTCTCCATATTTTCCACCAGTGTCGTCTGTCGGCTATACAGCCAATTTGGTTTAGACATATTTTCAGCCGGCTGCTTTTTCCACATAAATTAACTAGGCAACTTTTCAATTCACTAGTCAGAAAAAAGTCTGCCGAGCCCCCAACCATTAGAATGAACGACATGGATCTTCTAGCAATCTTTTGACAGGCGCCTGTCAGTCACAAAGTGAGCGCTGACAGGGAAACACAGCTGGTTTGACAGTCTGCTGTCTGTCCCGCATCTCGTTACCTGGGTGTGTGTGTGTGTTGTGTGCGCTGTGGTTGCAGTCGAATTTCTTTACACAGAGGGAGAACGCATGATTTTGCAGGTCCCATATAGTAGTGTGGTAACGACGATTCGAAATCCACTTAGCCTATTGTTTGCTGGCACATACATTTACCAAGCAAATCAACCATATGTATTTATAAAGCCCTTTTTACATCAGCAGATGTCACAAAGTGCTTATACAGAAACCCAGCCTAAAACCCCAAAGAGCAAGAAATGTAGATGTAGAAGCATGGTGGCTAGGAAATACTCCCTGGAAAGGCAGGAACCTAGGAAGAAACCTAGAGCGGAACCAGGCTCTGAGGAGTGGCCAGTCCTCTTCAGGCTGTGCCGGATGGAGATTATAAGAGTACATGGCCATTAAGGCCAGATCGTTCTTCAAGGTGTTCAAACGTTCATATAATGAACAAAAATATAAATGCAACATGTAAAGTGTTGGTCCAATCTTTCATGAGCTAAAATAAAAGATCCCTGAAATGTTCCTATGCACAAAAAGCTTATTTCTCTCTAATTTTATGCACAAATTAGTTTACATCCCTTTTTTGTGAGCATTTCTCCTTTGCAATATCAATAAGCTGATTAAACAGCATGATCATTACACAGATGCACCTTGTGCTGGGGACAATAAAAGGCCACTCTAAAATGTGCAGTTTTGTCACACAACACAATGCCACAGATGTCTGAAGTTGAGGGCGCGTGCAATTGACATGCTGTCTGCAGGAATGTCCACCAGAGCTGTTGCCAGAGAATTCTACTATAAGCCGCCTCCAACGTCGTTTTAGAGAATTTGGCAGTACAACTTACCGGCCTTACAACCGCAGACCACGTGTAACCACTCCAGACCAGGACCTCCACATCCGGGTTCTTCGCCTGCAGGATTGTCTGAGACCAGCCACCTGGACAACTGATGAAACTGAGGAGTATTTCTGTCTGAAATAAATACCTTTTTGTGGGGAAAAACTCATTCTGATTGCCTCCCCAGTGGGTGGGCCTGTGCCCTCCCAGGCCCACCCATGGATGGGCCTAATGAATTTATTTCAATTGACTGATTTCCTTATATGAACTGTAACTCAGTAAAGTCGTTGAAATTGTTGCATGTTGCGTAATAATCACCGTGGTTATAGATGGTGCAACAGGTCAGCACCTCAGGAGAAAATGTCAGTTGGCTTTTCATAGCCGAGCATACAGAGGTCGAGACAGCAGGTGCAGTAGAGAGGGGGTCGAAACAGCAGGTCCGGAATAAGGTAGGACGTCTTGTGAACAGGTCAGGGTTCCATAGCCGCAGGCAGAACAGCAGAAACTGGATCAGCAGCACAACCAGCTGTGACGGGGATAGCCAGGAGTCGTCAGGCCAGGTTGTCCTGAGGCATGGTCCTAGGGCTCAGGTCCTCTGGGAGGGTAGAGAGGGTGAGAGAGATGGGAGAATTAGAGGGAGCATACTTAAGATCACACAGGACACCAAATAAGACAGGAGAATTACACCAGATATGACACTAACCCTAGACCCCCCGCACATAGACTAGGGGTCGTGGGACACTGTGGCCCTGTTCGACGATACCCCCAGACAGGATATAACCCCACCCACTTTGCCAGAGCACAGCCCCACATCACCAGAGGGATATGAACAGACCACCAATTTACTACCCTGAAACAAGGCAGAGTATATCCCACTAAGATCTTCCCCACCGCATGAGACCGAGGGGGCGCAAAATCGGACAGGAAGATCATGTCAGTGACTCATCCCACTCAAGTCGAGTATAACTATCCAGCTCCACTCCACATTTAATTCTAAATGCCTACTGCTTGCAAAATATTTATTTTTTACTATATACATAGTTTATTTGCAGGATAAGGATTGTCCTGAATTTCAAGAATGCCTGAATTTCTTCGTCTTGCTTTTCTGGTTGGCTGGCAATTTTCACCATCCAATTATTTTAGTTTCACCAATGCACGGACCGTGGCGATACGTTGGCGCATGAGAATTATTCGAATATGGCAAATATTAGTCAATTATTGCATTCTATCCATGCTGGCTTTCGCAGGCTACCGGAGACAATCATACCTGTCATACCTGTATTGCAGATGGCTGAGAAAATGCCTCTTAAAAGGGAGCTTGAAGCCTGTGAAAGTCAGCAGACTCTTACAGGATTCTTTAAAGGCCCAGTGCAGTGAAAATGTAGTTTTTCCTATGTTTTATATCATATTGTAGAACAGCTGATGAAACTTAACACTGTAGAAGTGCAAAAATGTTTTGGATCAGTGTTAATACCTGATTGCTGCTGGTAAAATATACAATCTAGCATTAGAATGTACGTACCAGAGGCCACCAAAATAGGGCTTGTTCTGCAAAAATATCTTAACCTGGGAGAACCCCCGCGCACCCCCCCGGCCAAGGGGATCTTGGCTGGCTACTTTTTCGATTTGGCTGGCTCCTCCATGTGCTTGTGGAAAACACTGCTCTCCACTCCCTAGCTTTGCTTATACTCTTCTATTGTGTAATTGGTGTACGTTTCCTGTATATATTGTATATACTGTATGTAGACTGTGTCAATTCCTCTGTCTATATTTTGTCTATTGATGTTGGCACCATTTCACCAAGTCAAATTCCTGGTATATGTAAATGTAATTGGCGAATAAAGGTGATTCTGATTCCACTCTGTGTGTGTGCCCTGGCAGGTATGTGAGCTGGACATCATCTTTAACTTTGAGAAGGCCTACTTTATACTGGATGAGTTTCTGATGGGGGGGGAGATCCAAGACACGTCCAAGAAGAGTGTACTCAAGGCCATCGAACAGGCCGACCTACTACAGGAGGTAGGATTCAGATTTAGAAAACTTTAATTCCTCAATGAGGCAATTCATCTAGCAGCAAACACAATACATACAAACGAAATCACATATTTAAAAACCGATAGCAAAGGATATTTACTGAATAAGTTGTTTTTAAAAAGACGTCAAAATTAGGCTTCATGTACAGTGAGGGAAAAAAGTATTTGATCCCCTGCTGATTTTGTACGTTTGCCCACTGACATGATCAGTCTATAATTTTAATGGTAGGTTTATTTGAACAGTGAGAGACAGAATAACAACAAAAAAATCCAGAAACACGCATGTCAAAAATGTTATAAATTGATTTGCAATTTAATTAGGGAAATAAGTATTTGACCCCTCTGCAAAACATGACTTAGTACTTGTTGGCAATCACAGAGGTCAGACGTTTCTTGTAGTTGGCCACCAGGTTTGCACACATCTCAGGAGGGATTTTGTCCCACTCCTCTTTGCAGATCTTCTCCAAGTCATTAAGGTTTCGAGCCTGACGTTTGGCAACTCGGACCTTCAGCTCCCTCCACAGATTGGAGACTGGCTAGGCCACTCCAGGACCTTAATGTGCTTCTTCTTGAGCCACTCCTTTGTTGCCTTGGCCGTGTGTTTTGGGTCATTGTCATGCTGGAATTCCCATCCACGACCCATTTTCAATGCCCTGGCTGAGGGAAGGAGGTTCTCACCCAAGATTTGACAGTACATGGCCACGTCCATCGTCCCTTTGATGCGGTGAAGTTGTACTGTCCTCTTAGAAGAAAAACACCCCCAAAGCATAATGTTTCCACCTCCATGTTTGACGGTGGGGATGGTGTTCTTGGGGTCATAGGCAGCATTCCTCCTCCTCCAAACACGGCGAGTTGAGTTGATGCCAAAGAGCTCGATTTTGGTCTCATCTGACCACAACACTTTCACCCAGTTCTCCTCTGAATCATTCAGATGTTCATTGGCAAACTTCGGACGGGCCTGTATATGTGCTTTCTTGAGCAGGGGGACCTTGCGGGCGCTGCAGGATTTCAGTCCTTCACGGCGTAGTGTGTTACCAATTGTTTTCTTGGTGACTATGGTCCCAGCTGCCTTGAGATCATTGACAAGATCCTCCCGTGTAGTTCTGGGCTGATTCCTCAACGATCTCATGATCATTGCAACTCCACGAGGTGAGATCTTGCATGGAGCCCCAGGCCGAGGGAGATTGACGGTGCTTTTGTGTTTCTTCCATTTGCGAATAATCGCACCAACTGTTGTCACCTTCTCACCAAGCTGCTTGGCGATGGTCTTGTAGCCCATTCCAGCCTTGTGTAGGTCTACAATCTTGTCCCTGACATCCTTGGAGCGCTCTTTGGTCTTGGCCATGGTGGAGAGTTTGGAATCTGATTGATTGATTGCTTCTGTGGACAGGTGTCTTTTATACAGGTAACAAACTGAGATTAGGAGCACTAATCCTAATCTCAGCTCGTTACCTGTATAAAAGACACCTGGGAGCCAGAAATCTTTCTGATTGAGAGGGGGTCAAATACTTATTTCCTTCATTAAAATGCAAATCGATTTATAACATTTTTGACATGCGTTTTTCTGGATTTTTGTTGTTGTTATTCTGTCTCTCACTATTCAAATAAACCTACCATTAAAATTATAGACTGATAATTTCTTTGTCAGTGGGCAAACGTACAAAATCAGCACGGGATCAAATAATTTTTTCCCTCACTGTACATGATAGGAGTGATCTCTCTAATTAAAAAGAAGGAAAAACTCCAGCACACTGGTATTCTTGATACTTTGAACAATTTGATGGATCTATTTACTACCAACGTTTCGGTCTGTTGACCTCCTTCAGGGTATCTCTCTACCTCACTATGTGCCCTATTCAGGCTTGAGATGAGTTGATTTGCCATACGTAAAAATGTATGCGCACATGACTAAGTCGCTTTGGATAAAAGCGTCTGCTAAATGGCTTATTATTATATTATTGATTTAACACGGACTTAAGTCAATTTTAAAAAAACTTAAGTCCATGTTTTATTGACTTAAGTCCACGTTGAGTCTACTTATATCAAGTCTGAATCGGGCCTTATGACTTTACCTAACATCACTATGAATGATGTAGTTTTATTTGTCACCAATTATTCTGAGCCATCTGTTCCCCGTCTCCCCCTACAGGAGGACGAGTCTCCAAGAAGTGTTCTAGAGGAGATGGGCCTGGCGTAGTGACAGCAGGGTACTCTGATCCCAGCACTTTTTATCAGGCGACAGACGAAGAGACAGAGGACTTTAGGTTACATGTGCAAAAGGGTGGAGGAAAGGGGGTTTGACGTGTGTGTGTGTTGGGTGGAGGGTGAATGGAGGGGGTTTGGGGGGGTGGCTGGGAGGGAGTAAGGGCTGGAATGGAAGCTGTTATCTAAGGCTGTGTCAAGTGGCACTCTATTCCCACATAGTACTCTAGGGCTCTGGCCAAAAGAAGTGCAGCTTTTTTTAGGTAAAATAGGGTGTCAATTGAGATTCACACATTGACGTTCTGGTACTGAATTCAAGACATTGCTGACATTGTTGTATATTATCATGATGATCCACACCCTATTTATATTAGCTCTGTGAAAATGGTGCCACTTTTGGCCGAATGATTTAGCTACTACTGTTGTATGACCCAGACTTGGGTTCAAATACTATCTGAAATTGTTCAAGTACTTCTAGCGTTTGCTTTAGCCTGCAGGGAGGCCATTATATTGGTTCCGTTCTGCCAGGACACTCAATCAAGCTCAGCTTTAAGTATTTGAGATAGTATTTGAACCACGGTCTGATTTGACCTTTGAACTTTCCCTCGAGACGCAGGTCAGAATGCATCTTAAGACTTTTTTTAGCAGGAGATGAAATAAGACATCAAAACATTTTACCCAACAGATTACGTTTTATCAGATTAGGGTGCGTCTCAAATGGCACCCTATTCCCTATATAGTGCACTACTTTTGACCAGGGCCCATAGGGCTCTGGTCAAAATTAACGCTCTATGTAGGGAATAGGGTGGCATTTTGAGGGACACAGGGATTTTCTTTTAAATGAATGGTCGTTAAATATTTTGTAAATGTACCACACGTTATGAGAATAATATAATATGTTTGCTGTTTTTATTGTTTTTAAGGGACCACATTGATTGTCTGCATTGGTGAGTTATGTTGAACCCATAGTAGGATCTGTTGTAGGGGTACACACAAAGAACACATTCTTGCCCTTCCCATTTATATGTCAATCTGTAGAATGATTCTTCCCAAATTCCGGATCCATCCAGAGTTCCTTAGAATTGAGAATTATATTTCTGCGTTCTATTCCGCAACTGTTTTTCTCTGTCTCTCAGCCTGTGTGTGGCTGTGCTAACATGAATGTGTTTATGTGGAAAGGGCTCAATGTGATAGTATGCAATGTAGTGATGATGATGATGATGATGATTCAGATGAGACTAACCCAGGGCACGAAAATATAGGCAGAGAGAGGGAGAGTTTGTTGTTTCTGAGCAGCAACGTAAAACAAAAGGCAAACAAACTACTTTGACATACACGTGACTTTTTAGAGAAATAATGGACCTAGCTACCATTCCTATACCAACAAACACATTAAATGCAGTACGTTTTACGCCTATCAAATACCTACTTTCCAAAGAGTAATAATATTTTTGTCTGCAACAAGAGGGAATAGACCAATAGGAATAAACTGAAACTAGAAGAGTTTGGCTTCAGATTGTAGACATGTGTTCTTATTACCTGACTTTAGCCCATTGATTTAAATGAGATACGTTCCAACATTCATACTAGCATACTACTTGCTATTGTGCGTTCCCAATACATTGCTTCACTCCAATTAGTATCAATACATAGGCTACATTCCAATATCCACACTAGCATACCACTTAGGTGGTGTTCCAAATGGCACCCTATTTAGGGCAGTACTTTTGACCAGAGGCCGAAATATGGAACAGGGTGCAGTTTGGGATGAAGCCTTTGCCCACTGTATTGCTCCATTCAAAGTGGTATACTAGTATGGTCAATGGGACAGAACTATTGCTTCATTATTAGTAGTGCGCTAGTGTGGATTATTGGAACTGCGCCGAATAAGAAATTAGAAGATATTTTGATTTGCATTTTTTCAGGGACTCAAAAAGGTGTGTGTGTGTAGGGTTTTATTCATTTGGGATCCAGCATGAGGGATGGGTGGCATATGATAAATAACTATTGACCTACGGTCCAGTCATGGTACCCTATTCCTTTTATAGGGTTATGGTCAAAAGTAGTGCACTATAAAGAGAAAAGGGTACTATTTGGGATGCAGCATATTATCGAAGGGAATCGTGTGAATGTAATTTTATAATAAAAATAAAATGCAATTAGAAAGGACTTGTGTACTTGTGCTTTCTGGTTTGGTTATTGTCGTTTTTACCTTAGTTGAATGCACTGACAGTAACTTGGTCTGGATAAGAGCGTCTATCCGCTCTTGAAAATGTAAATGTAGCTAGTTATTGTTTAATAAGGTATGTTTGTTGTGTTAACTGTGAATGCCCATGCATGTTTTAACCTGTGGATTCCCATAGAAGGAAATGTCAGTCTATAGACTTACCATATATAGTACCAGTCAAAAGTTTGGACACACCTACTCATTCCAGGGTTTTTCTTTATTTTTACTATTTTCTACATTGTAGAATAATAGTGAAGACATCAACTATGAAATAACACATACGGAATCATGTAGTAACCAAAAAAGTGTTAAACAAATCGAAATATATTTTATATTTGAGATTCTTCAAAGTAGCCACCCTTTGCCTTGATGACAGCTTAGCACACTCTTGGCATTCTCTCAACCAGTTTCATAAGGAAGTCACCTGGAATGCATTTAAATTAACAGGTGTGCCTTGTTAAAAGTTAATTTGTGGAATTTCTTTCCTTAATGCGTTTGAGCCAATCAGATGTGTTGTGACAAGGTAGGGGGGGATATACAGAAGATAGCCCGATTTGGTAAAATACCAAGTCCATATTATGGCAAGAACAGCTCAAATAAGCAAAGAGAAACGACAGTCCATCATTACTTTAAGACATGAAGGTCAGTCAATCCGGAAAATTTCAAGAACTTTATAAGTTTCTTCAAGTGTTGTCGCAAAAACCATCAAGTGCTATGATGGAAATGGCTCTCATGAGTACCACCACAGGAAAGGAAGACCCAGAGTTACCTCTGCTGCAGAGGATAAGTTCATTAGGTTACCAGCCTCAGAAATTGCATCCCAAAAAATGCTTCACAGAGTTCAAGAAACAGACACATCTCAACATCATCTGTTCAGAGGAGACTGCGTGAATCAGGCCGTCATGGTCGAGTTGCTGCAAAGAAACTACTACTAAAGGACACCAATAAGAAGAAGAGACTTAATTAGCATTCTCTCAGCCAGGTTCACCTGGAATGCTTTTCCAACAGTCTTGAAGGAGTTCCCACATATGCGGAGCACTTGTTGGCTGCTTTTCCTTCCTCTGTAGCCCAGCTGGTAGAGCACGGCGCTTGTAATGCCAGGGTAGTGGGTTCGATCCCCGTGCCCACCCATACACAAAAATGTATTCACGCATGGCTGTAAGTCGCTTTGGATAAAAGCGTCTGCTAAGTGGCATATTATTATTTTATTATTATCACTCTGCAGTCCATCTCAATTGGGTTGAGGTCGGGGGATTGTGGAGGCCAGGTCATCTGATGCAGCACTCCATCACTCTGCTTCTTTGTAAAATAGCCCTTACACAGCCTGGAGGTGTGTTGGGTCATTGTCCTGTTGAAAACAAATAATAGTCCCACTAAGCCCAAACCAGATGGGATGGCATATTTTTGTAATAAATGTGAATATTTTTTGCTACTTAAGTAAATACCTGCAGTCAACTTGTGCAATATGTTTAGGAGATAAAGGAGATCGCGTTCTTCATTTCAGCTGTCACAATATTTCATTATGAAGCTTATTGGTAGTCCCCAGTCGTGGTATTTGTTTACAAGCACACAACAACAAGAGACCGGAGCCTTGTGAGTCACTCACTGTTGTGTAGCACGTGCCATGTGATCTAGTTACAGTATGGAATTCACAACGAAATTTTTGCCAGCTCGATATCTTTTATAACTATTAAGTTAACTGTCTAAAATGTGCTTAATACTCTGCAGTTGCGCATTTGGTTTGCTAAGTTAGTAGCTAGTTAGCTACCTAGCTAAGTGGTTACCTTCTTCCAAAGTCAAGCTTCGCTTTGTAACAGCAGAGAATCCCTTCCTGGATCAAGAGCCTTGCTGTCTAACATTTGTTTTCTGCGTGCAGCAAACTATGAGTAGCATTTTTGAGTTAATTGTATAACTTTATGAGCTAGGATGTCTGTCCTAAAAATGGTTTAGATCAGAGACTGTATAAAATGTTCGCAATACGCTCATTAGCACTTAGTTAGCATTCTCTATGGGATTTTATATGTACCTGTTAGCATTGCTAACCTTTGGATTACAGAAGCGGTGGGGATAGAAAATAGTGCCCCTTGTGTTCTGTGCCGGTATAACCGAATATCCCGATATGGCACGAGGTCTGTATGACAAAATGGATACCGCCCAAGCCTAGTGTTAATGTAAGCTCTAGTGTAATTGTTTCCATCAGGAGTGTGACACTAAAGACTTGGGGTGGGCAGAATCAACAAACTCTGCATCAAGTTGCTTTGTGAGAAGGTGTTAAAGTTCACAGTTAGCCATTCTTATGTAAATGCCAGCTGAAAACTACCAGTGGCTTGGCCTTGGCCCCAAGTCAGGGCAGGTCCGCCGGAGCCATGGCCCAGTGAGACACGGGTGCCGGCCCACATACATTGCCTTCAGAAAGTATTCTCACCCCTTGACTTTTTCCACATTTTATTGTGTTACAGCCTGAATTTAAAATGCATTCAATTAAGATTTTATTTGTCACTGGCCTACACACAATACCCCATTAATGTCAAAGTGGATTCCACCACATCCTCCGAGGTCGCACTTCCGCATCTGCGGTGAAAGATGACAGAGCTAGAGCAGTGTTTGTCAGACCATGAGACATCCCGAAAATCGGTCTTCTCACAAAATCGTCTGTAGCAACCGAACGGATGGAAAGATGAGACTCACGAACATGATAGTGTTCTCCGTTTTCCTCTTCGACCTCCACAAGCGTCTTGGGACTCGTCTGAAGTCGGTACAGCCGATCTACCAACTTCTGTCTAGCGTCCGAACAGTTTTGGTTACACACTAATATGAACCCTCTGTGGAAATGTGACACATTTCCACCAGTCTAATGCCCATTGATTGTGTTTCTTGGCCCAAG